CCGAGTAAAAAATTAAATTACCGTATTTTTTTTTGTCTATTTAAGCATTGGGCCCTTTTTTTGGTTTAAAAAAATCTGCCAACTTTAATTAGATACAACATGTACTACCACCTATTCATTTATTTTTTATATTATATAATAAAAACATATGACTAGACATTTTGTGGTTGTGTCTGTGACTAATAATTTCCATAAGACGATACAGATTAAATAATAATGACTCATAATAAAAACATATGACTAGACATTTTGTGGTTGCATACCGTCTGTGACTAATAATTTCCATAAGACGATACAGATTAAATAATAATGACTCAGATCAAACATAAAATATCACCCGTTCAGAAATATATGACACATACAATGTAGGTATATTCCACCCTTGTCTTTGTTTTTTTGGATCTCTCGGATCTCTCTTCTGGTGCCGCGAGGTTGGCGTATAAATTTCGTTTTTTATTTATTTTTTAACTAAATACTCGTTTTTTGTTTGTATAGTACCTATTTGTACTTGTAGAGATTAAGGTAAGATGAGACTGACGACCAAATTCGTAAAATAAAATAAAAAATTATATTCACATATAGACCCATGGTAAGCAGAGCTTGTGTTATGGGTACTAGACAACTGACATAAATACTTAAATACTCTTTTTGTAAATACATACATAATACACATAGAAAACACCCAGACTAATACAAACAATCCTACTCATGAATACAAAATGTTTACACAGTGCGAGGAATCGAACCCGCAACCATCGGAGTAAAGCGGTGTGCTAAACCGCTAAACCACCGAGGCCAAGAAATGTCTATCACTTCAATGTATGCTATAAAACAAATACAAATAAATATCTTTATTGTGTACCATAGGTCAAGTTAAGCGGTTAAAAAAATATTCCACAGTGTCTAGATACTTCAATAGGTCAGTCAAATTAATAAAATATAATATGTAACCACAGTATATAACTAATATTATAAATGCGGAAGTGAGTTTCTTTTTTACGCTTTCACGCCTAAACTATTAATTCGATTATGATTATTTTTTTTCGGACTACTTCTAACGCTTTTGGCCGCAGCCGGCCTTTACAGCTTCACCGGATGATGGAGACAAGTGGAGATAATATTATAATAATAATAATAATAATCTCAGGACAATTCACACAGCGCCATCTAGACCCAAGTTAAGCTAGCTAAAGCTTGTGTTATGGGTCCTAGACAACTGATACAAATACATAGATAATTTTTTTTTTTTTCCTAAATACATACATATTATACATAGAAAATACCCAGACCGATACAAACAATCATACTCATGAATACAAATGTTTGTGCCGTGCGAGGAATCGAACCCGCGACCATCGGTCGTAAAGCGGTATGCTAGACCGCTAGACCACCGAGGTCGTCAAGGTTCCGTGGGTTTGGAGATGGTACTCCAAACCCACGGAAGGACTTATGGAGCGGCTGAAGACCAACTCCCGCCTGACGGATACGACTTTAGTCTGAGGACACCCCTAGGGGTTAGAACATTAGTCGTATTTTAGAACAGTAGTCGTAATTTAGATCCGCGTTTGAATTAGACGGGAGATCGATAGGAGAGATATGAATTTTTGTACAGAGAATGAAGGATTCTGGAAACAGTTATAGGCTGCGGTAACCATTTACCATCAGACGGGCTGTATGCTTGTTTGCCATCATTGTAATATAAAAATATTACGATGATAATTATCTTATTATAAACGCGAAATTTTATGATTACAGATGTATATATATGGATAAATGGATATCTGTTTTGATGCCATGACTAAAAACTAGTAAAATAATAAAAACGGACGGAGTTTTACATAATATGACTAACGATAATATTTATCATTAGTAACGGTCATTGACGGTCTCGGTCTAAAGGTTTGGCGTACCGCTTTATTTACGATGATCGCGGGTTCGATTGCTAGCACGATAATCATTTGTACTATTCATGAGTATGATTGTTTGTATAGATCTAGGTGTTTTTATATATATTACGTAGGTACACAACGTAATACTTAAGTCTTATGTATACTCTTGTAATATGTCTGTCAATACTCGGCACCGTCCCGTCCCGTTAGTTTACCTCTCCAGATAACAGATTTAAGTTGAGTGTAAAGTCAGTCTACGTCCCGACTCCGCGTCGAATGTACGCGTTAGTAATTCGCCATGTAGCACACTATCCAATAATTTTTTGATAGTTTTTATGTTTTTTATATATATTTGAATTTTATATTTTGACGTTCTGTTTTTGTATTCTGTTTGTTTTCTTATGCCATATTGATTGTCTTTATATTTTTGCTAGCTAATCAGCTGATTACGCTCATCTAGGAACTTGTCTCATTTTAAACCAGCCTTAATACAGTCCTTCCGTAACAGTAATAATGTTCAATAAATAGTATAATTATTACACCTGTATACTCACTATCTAGATACGACAATAAACAAATAAATAATATAGCGACACCTCATCACATCATACATAACGCTACAGTGGTGAGGTAATAACCGCGCTAGTATTTCTATCAATTGTATAGTACCTAATCCTGCTTAGCTGGCGCAGTCAATTATCCTGAGTTATTATTATAAACTCATTAACAATACGTTAATAAAGAACTTATTTTCCTCAATAGCATTATTCTCATTATTCTATTGCACAAGCGCATTAAAAACAGGTCATTTGATTGAAAATTCCTTTTAATAACGGCCTCTCGTGGTCTAGCGGTTAAGCACACCATGTTACTTCAGAGGGTCGCGGGTTCAATTTCTCCAAAAACTTTTTTATTCATGAGTATGGTTTGAGAATTCCCTTTAATGACGGCCTCGGTGGGCTAGCAGGTTAGTACACCGCCTTAATTCCGATCTTCGCGGGTTCCAGTCCTCGCATGGCACAAATATTTGTAGTGATGAGTATGATTGTTTTGATCGGTCTGGGTGTTTCCTATATATATATTATGTATGTATTTACAATAAAATTATCTATGTATTTATATCAGTTATCTAATACCTATAATAACAAGCTCTGTTAAGATTGAGTTGACGTTGTGTGAATTGTCAGGGGCATTATTATTACTTAATATATAAAAATAATTTAATTATATAGTTTGGATCGTTCTGAATATTTCCTATGCACATTACGTATGTATATCTGTTATCTAATTCTTTTTTATTTTAATAATTATATAGATTACACGTCTATATTTAAATGTAGTATAAACATTATGTATGTACATTTTTGAGTATTTTAATAATCCCTATACACATAGGATAATCCATAAGTTACTTTATGGGGAGGGAAGGGGGTGGTTAGACACAACCCTTACACAAGCTCTGCTTAGCTCGGGACTAGATGGAGCTGTGTGAAATAACCAGAGATATTATTATTATTGATGCAAATAATTTACATCACACTCGTCTCTTTGCTCTGCTTGACTTATACGCTATATTACACTGTCAAAGTCTAATTTTTTTAACTTGATTAGGTAATTAAATGACTTATATTATCAGCATCAGGCGACATCCATCGTCTGATTAAATTAGATTAAATGATTTCTATTCTTTCTTATTTAAATAAACGATAGCTATTGTAATATCTTGGCCGTAATACTTGGTTTAACGGCGTATTACATTATCAAACATGTGGGATTATTTATTATTTTATTCAATTTGTGTCATTCCATATCTAAGTGCTTTTAGTATACACATATAGTCACTGCGGACTTCCATTGGGGTAGTCAGTGCCTACGCATACATGATTATATTATATATCTATATATGTATATCTACAATATATTATTTTTTATCAATTTATGTACTTTTAAACTTTTAGTATATATTTACGTATATATCTTCACGACTGTATCGTATAGGGGTAAACAGACAATGAAATGTCAAATACTCTGTCATACATACTCGTTTTAGTTTCTCCATATTCATCAATCTATTGACACTAATTCGCCGGCTTGATTTGACCTTTTGCAATACATAGTCCATTTATATGTATACAATTATACAATCTATACATATAAATAAAATTGGAGTGTCTTTTTGTAACATTGAAATTACTATTTTTACCACATGCATACGAATATAAATACGGTACATACACCAAAATATCTTTTTTTACAATTTTTGTCTGTCTGTCTGTCGGTCTGTTTGTCCGGCTAATCTCTGAAATGGCTGGACCAATTTTGACGGGACTTTTTTTGGCAGGTAGCTGATGTAATAAGGAGTAACTTTTATTATAGGACAATAAAGTTAAATTCCACGCGGATAAAGTCGCGGGAACAGCTAGTATAGTATATAATCATATAAAGTAATTTTTACAAGAAATACCGAAATTTCCATGTATCTGAATATGTTAGTAATAGTTCGGAAATCACGGAAGTTCTTCCGTGAAGATTGATAATTCTATTATAAAGAAATATGTAGTTTGTTGGGAACAATAAACTACATATTTGTTATAATAGACAGGAGAACCTGTTATACATCCTTTTTAAATAATCTCCGCAACATCCTTTTCTTAATTTTTATCACACAGGAACACTGTTTTTTTTATTATTTATTTATCTTATCACCTAATATTATAAAAGGGAATGTTTGTGAGTATCCATACTCACAAACATTCCGATATTCGTTACTCTTTCACGCAACCAATACGGAACGGATTTTGATGGAACTTTACACTATTATAGCTTATACAACAGAATAACACCTAGGCTATAATTTAAACAGATATTATGTAAATTGGGCGAAATATAACGTGTCAGGTAAGTGTAATGCAGACGAAGTTGCGTGGACCAGCTAGTACCTATATTATAAACACAACACACAGGAAAGAAGGGAAGAGAACAGCTATATCATGTCGTATCAACAAACAACATAAGTCGTGTCGTATAAACAACTTGATGGTAAGAGCTCCAGCGACCATAGCGCGGCTATTAAATAATGAATAAATTGATGAAAAAGTTGGTTATGCTCACCTGTCAGCCGGTAGCATTTCAGTGTTGTCGTCCTCCATAGACTCATCGCCTACCCCCACCTCCAACTCTACATGCGGTGGGGTGCTCATCTCAGATGATCACCAATCGCCAAGAACCCTGCGGGATATACGTTAATATCACTATCACTACGACTGATTTAATCTTAAGGTGTTTTTATATTTGAGCTTAAATAAATTAGTGCTGGTTGGTAGTTTTTATTCACACGTTTCGACTTGTAAAATGTGAACTTACAAGGATTGTTTTGCATTAAAAAATAAAACATATGCATTTATCTTTGTGCACAAAATTTAAACAATACTAGAAAAAAAAGTAGCTTTAATAAGTGAATATTCATATGATGTGAATATAATCATTTGCTAATTAACCAGATATGTGTTTAGAAGCCTCAATAATATTATTAACCAAGAGATAACAAATCAAACTAGGTCCAGACCTTTATATATGACGACCTCGGTGGTCTAGCGGTCTAGCACACCGCTTTACGACCGATGGTCGCGGGTTCGATTCCCCGCACGGCACAAACATTTGTATTCATGAGTATGATTGTTTGTGTCAGTCTGGGTGTTTTCTATGTATAATATGTATGTATTTACGAAAAAAATATTATATCTATGTATATGTATCAGTTATCTAGTACTCATAACACAAGCTTTAGCTAGCTTAACTTGGGTCTAGATGGCGCTGTGTGAATTGTCCTGAGATTATTATTATTATTATTATATATGTCAATGAATAAGAAAATTTATCAATACATATAATTAAATTTGGAGTGTCTGTTTGTAATATTGAAATAACCATTTTTTACTACATGCATATGAATATAAATATGGTACATACATACACCAAAATAACATTTGTTACAATTTTTGTCCGTCTGTCTGTTTGTTTCGGATAATCTCTGAAATGGCTGTACCAATTTTGATGGGACTTTTTTTGGCAGATAGCTGATGTAATAAGGAGTAACTTAAGCTACTTTTATTTTAGAAATATAAAGATAAATTCCATGCGGACGAAGTCGTGGACACAGCTAGTAATATATATAATTGCATACAATAATACAATTCATTGCTGATAATTCTCAGTAATAGATAAATATATTTCTGTACAGAAGATGACACATACATTTCTGGGTTTTTCTATATCCATTTATTTTTATAGGTAATATTTATTGAATAAAGGCTATTATTCTATAAATGATTACTTATTATGGCAAAACAGTGGTTGCCGGGACAGCCAGTTGTTATATGAAAATATATAATGACAATTTAATTCACAATTTACTTTTTTCATAATCAGTTACAATGATTATTGTAAATTTACTTTAGGCAGTTACTTAAAATGCTGGCTGGTTAAACTAATAATGTGCTCATATTAAAAAATCTTGGTAAGTAATGAAATAAAGAAACAAAAACTTTAAAAGTAATTATTTAATATTTTGGAACTTGAATGTGTATAGTTTATAAAATATAAATATATACTTATTTACATACAGTCCCTGGCTAATTTATTAGAGGCACTACTGTTTTCATGCTAATTTTAATTTGTAGGTAACATACTTTTTAATACATAAATTATAATGAATTGATTATGTATATGTATTCAACATCAATTCATAGGTTATATCGCAAATAAAATGTGGTATTTGTTGAAAATATTTTATTTTGTAATTAAAATAAAAGTTAAAATATAATAACAGTAAAAATTTGAAGTTTCCCTAATCATATTTTGTTCCCCTATTGTTATATTTGTACAATGGTATAAAAATAAAGTTTCCCAATACTTTATTCTCGCTAAGATTTTTAATTAGGTTAATACTGATTTTAAGAAAATATACTTATCTTTTTTTAGAGGAGAGCTAGAATTAGCAATGCCTATAATATATGTAAGATTCTTAGATATATCCATATGTTGAATCAATTTGTTAACAATGATTAGCTAATAATTGATTGCAGTCTCAATTTTTATATTTTAATGCAGTGCGCACAACTTCAATATGGAACCGAAATTTACGAAATATTTTATTATTTATTATTATTAATAATAATATCATCTTATCATGAATTAATTCATAATTACGTATTATTTAACATATATTTAAATTGTAATAAAATTATCTACGGGGCTTACAATAATTAGGTGTGATGATTTATAAAAATATAAACCGATTAAAAATGAAATATATATTTAACAAAACCTATATTATAACAAACGTAAAAACATTTATGCATGCTCGAAACAAAAGTTCTTGTGTAACAAAAGAATCATCGTACACTCACCTTCACTTTCTCAAAAATGTTAACTCATCAAATTGCACTTGTGATGAAAATCATCGCCAGATGGGAAAATACAATTAGTAATAAGCAGGCATTTAATTGTCATGAATTTTACACGAGTATTTTCTAATTAAACTATGAGTAAAAACGCATTCACTTGGTCCACGAAAAATGACATTTCATCACAACGTAATTATTACACTTGAGAGTTTGACGTTTTTCTAAAAATAATTAAAGAACACACTAATATTGTTGAAAATGTCACGCAATATTGCGTTTTTAGATTTACGATTATTACTCAACAACAAAAATATAATTAAGTGACGGATTTATTGAATGATAAACTGGAAGTGGAAGTGAAAACTGGAATAGTATTGCCAATACCAAAATATTAAAATAATCGAATGTCACCACGTTGGAAATATTATATTGAGAATAAAATTATGGTAATTGTAGAAAATAATGTAAATTGTAACTGTAGGTATAATAAACATAAACATAATTTTAATCTTATGTGTAGATAATGAATTTTGTATTTTGTCTAGATAGTAAAGAAATGAAACATCCACCTAAACGATTCTATCCCACTCATAAAGCAAGTATACACAGACTGAATAGAATTTTAATGGAAAATAACATAAATTATATGAAAATTAGGCACTTCCATCCAATCAAATACACAAAGTGTAGTTTTATGCTACTATCTGAATTTATTTTATTGGTATATTTTATGATATAATAAATATAATAACATAACATATTAAATATTTTTTCCTACATGTGCAATTTGTACCCATATATTTTTTTTCTTATATTTAATCATACCAAATAATATCCTAGTTTTTGGATAAAAGAACTTTTTATTTGAAATAATATGTACAATGTCATTCATAACAATAAATTATATTACTTATTACAGGTACAGTATAGTAAAACACTTATACTATGTCTTAGGAATAATATCACGGTTTAGGTGTAGAGAAACCAAGAGGTGGATATTTTTCTAGTATTTGCTCCATCGAAGACGGGAAGAAGGCCATAAATTTAAATCTTTCGCCCATTTTTGCCGGGTCCACAAGCATTTTATAAGCGCTTTTTAACATTTCTTTATCTTCTTCTGATTTAGCGTTATCCGTTAGTACCTATAGAGACAGAAAGGTTTTCACGATGTAGTTAATAAACAAATCTCAGAAGTAAACAAAAAATATTGGTAGGTAAAAATAGTTTTGTTTTGCTTTTAGTATTTATAAGATGGTGACGATATTTGGTCATGCTGCAGCATATCAATGGCTAATCTGAGTCTACCTGACTATCATAGTTATTAATTTATTGTATTTTTTAATGCAATACTACTAGTGCTAAAGTTATAAAATACAATAAATTAATAACTACACCCTTGTCTGTTTGAATAGCTATTCACATAGCTGAAAGGTCTGAGTTTGTAGCTAATACCTGTAATCTGATTTCCGCTTGTGATCTCTCCAAAAAGTCCTTTTGTTTAACCGGTCCTAATACGATGGCGTAATTTTCGGCGCCTGGAGACTTTGCCGCGGCTATACGAAGCTGAGTAAAATCCACATCAGCAGTGAGGTCATTAGCTCCAGGAGTCTCCAGTGGGTCCACAACTTTGTGCTTGTGGAATGCCTATGACATAAAATATTTCTGATAAAAAGATATAATTTGAAGTTATTTTATGCAGAGTTAAAAAAATTATCAGGTTATTAATTTACAATAAGAATAATTAAATGTCCTCAGGACTTATCTCAGATGGGTTAGTGGAAAGCATTGTCAGCTGTCAAATGGTGAACACAACGTGGCCACATTTTGCTGAGTATCTATTTAAAAATAATATGATGATGGTGGACCCACCTGGTTCTATCTCTTAATAATAATTTAAAAATTCTGTCAATTATTTGTTTTACATAAATTTGGGAAGTAAAGATATTGCCTTACATTTTAACAATGCTCTAAACATTATTACATACCCTAAATGTATCTCCCTTTTCTCCCTCATGTCCATAATCTGCTATTAAAGCTATGCCTCCATATTCATCTACTCTTTGTGCTAGCTGACGAGCAATACCTAGACTTCGGGCACTGATCTCTAGTTCTGTTCTATCTCCAGCATCTAACGGGGGCCTGATGAGAGTTTTAACAGACTTAGTTTCCTCAGCCGAAATTCTATAACGAAGTTTATCAGCTGAGTCCAAGTCTATTAGAATTTCTCTCCAACCATTTACTGTTTTCTAAAAGTAAAAAAACCTAGTATCAATGGATAATAATTAGTAAAGAGTACAAAAATATAAATATATTATAATATATTTACTAATACTACTAAAAACATAAATATATTTATTATATAGAAAAGACAGTAAGTCTTTTCTTATTTTTATGTTTGACATATTTAAATACATTAATTATGAAGTATTTGTGTGGTAATTTAAAAATGTATATTTTTATAGATTCTAAAATAGCTTTTAGAAAATTAGCATCAAAACAAAACTTCTTGTTTATAAAAATAAGAGAAAATATAAAGAATTATTTTAAGTAAATTTTATTTAGATAAAATTTATACAAATAATAAAGAAAATAACCGTCTGAAAGGTTGGAAAAGAACTGTGAAACATTTTTAATAAACCCATAATAATATTAAATAATTTCTAAGATACTTCATTACTGAAATTATTTATTTCTGGAGAATTGATATATATTACTAAATATTATATTGTCCTTCATTTTTTGTTACTACTTACTTCAAATTTATGGACAGGTAGGACATCAAAAAACTCATGTGCTATATACCATGAGAAATTATTTGGCACTTTCTTTAGATCATTGTACCAGTATACCTTTATACCACTTGCTGTCTCTCCCTGTAAATAAAAATAAATAATATTAACAGCAGTAAGAATAAACATAACAGAGTTGGAAGGGCAGCCTTTTCAGGCACTCTTGTCTATTCCATCACTTAATATAGGTAACATTGATTTACATTTTAACAAATAGAAGGCTTGTTTTTACAAATGTTTACTGGACTAATCTGAAATGATGTAATATTCTACTCTCTAATCACTAACATAATATATCATCAAGACATACTTGACTCTTCTGTTTTATGGGATTATAGAACTGTCCTATTTACAGTCCCTATTAGATAACTAAAGATAATAAAGATAATAAAGATCAAGTGCAATGATTAATATATGTAAACAATATAATTTGTTAACATTTAACACTCCGGACACCTCATTACTTAGGCTTTCCTTGCTTAGTGACAAGCGATATTCCTGTTAGTTTACATAAACTTAAGATTAATATTATTACATACTCAAATAATAATAAGGTAAGGTTCCAAACCTTACCTCATAATTGTAGGGTAGTTTTAAATCAGTTGCCCTGTGAGATATACACAGTCTGCTGGCTTGAATATTCTGCATTGTCTCCGAGATTTCCACCAAGTGCAAACTAAGGTCTTGTGCTTTATATCCAATACGATGCAACACCTGTTAGAATTCAACAAATACACATATTATAACTTTATTAAGTTATAATATGTGTATTTGTTTATATTTTAATTAAGTCAATTTTATGACTTGGAAATATGTTAGACAAAATACAGAATTACCACCAAGAATTAAAACACAATGGTTTCCAGGGGATACCAAGTGTGGGTCAACCTGACTATAAAGTATGTATACGTACCCTTAGAATATCAAACATCAAAGTGCCCTTTCCTGGGCCTAGTTCAACAATTTGAAGCGGTTTGCCTGGACCCATTTTTTGTGTTTCAGAAAAAAACCATATAGCTACCATCTCACCAAATAACTGACTGATTTCTGGTGATGTAATAAAATCACCCATTTCACCTATTACTTCTTTTTTCATATAGTAACCTTCTGTAGGATTTGTAGCTACAATATGCATGTACTCCGCGACAGTAAGAGGTCCGTTGAGTTTTATTTTCTCTCTTATTATTTCCATGAGTTTTGGTGCTGTTCCTGGTACCGGCATTTTTAAAGTATTTGGATCTGGGCGTTTAACTACTTTATACCCATATCTTCTTTGAAAATGAAATGGCAGTTTATTTATTACACGAAATAAATTGCGTGAATTCATATTTTTCTAATAGGTTAATTACCGAATAATAACAAAACAACAGGGACCAGCTGATTTTTGACAATATTCCATAATAGACAAAAATTTTGACAATTTACACGCAGTGTTGCTACTTAATTCAGTACGTTTTTATACATACCGTATTTTTAAAGTAAAGTAGAAGACTGTGCTTCCACGACTGGAAAACAAAAAATGTAGTTTGTTTGTGGATAACCTCTTAATTTGTTTACATTTTGTAGGTTATGTCTACTCGTTTTTAATGTAAAATTTAAATTATTAATCTATAATCAGAATTTCTTGTATTTGAAAGCTGCAAATGGCTCCAGACAGTATGGAAGTGGAAGTAACTGATAATACAAAGTACAAAGATGGTGTAAATAGGAACGCCAGGCTGATCGTCAGAAATATATCATTCAAAGCCACTGAAGATTCTCTGAAAGATCATTTCTCTCAATATGGGACTGTTGAAGAGGTGAAACTTTTGAGGAAACCTGATGGGAGGCTGGTTGGGTGTGGTTTTGTACATTATACACATGTACCTATGGCTAATGAAGCCATAATTGCAACTAACAAAAAACCTTTCTTAGGCAAGTATTTTTGTTTATTTATATCGTGATTTGGAGACCTAAATGATGTATCTGTCTATTTCTTATCACTCCAGATGGAGTCATGATAAATAGACAGAGTGGGGTTGTTTGTCAGTTCATTATATTCCTAAATTATAGTAGATTCAATTAATCATAAGTATCTATAACAAACATTGAACATAGTAAACAATATTAATAATGAATACCCCATTTCACATATTGAACTATAAATTATTTTTCCTAATAGCCTATTGTCTTAAAGAAAGTATTTAACATGAATGTGGATAGCCGGAAAGGGAGAGGATGGCAAAAAAATAATGAATGAATTATGCAAGAGATAACATGTACAAGTAGAAACTTACGCAATATAAATAAGCTTATTTTACCTAAATGCCGTCTGCACAAAATCAGTAATTCATTCTGTGGTAATTGCATAAGATTTTATGATAAACTAAGAGAGGCAATTCAAATCTTATTAAACAATTTTTATGTAAGAAAGCCTATTATAGGATAGACGAATTCATAGATGACAACATATCAAGTAAATAATTAGTTTATTAGCATACGTTATAATTTTATTTTCTCATTGCTTTCTTGATTTAATTGATTGATTTTAGAAATATGAAAGCGTAGCGGTTTTTGTATTAATTGCCGCATGCATTCTTATGTAAAATGTGAATACTATAACTATCAGATGGCAATTGTGAGTAGCTTTGACGTGGTCTAGTGTTTTGAGTAGTCATGCTCACTAAAATGTCTAGACTTGTGGCGGCGTGGTGGGCCGGGTCATTGGGCTCCCTAAAATATGGTCGAGCGCAGTGATGGCTGGCTCATCCATCATACTCGTGAACGGGTGCTGCTTTTAGGGACTGGTCTGCTCTAATCACTATGACTGATTTCCTCTTATTAATTGTTTAACCAATTAGTTATATATTCAATATTTTTTCTATTTGAGTATTTAATTGAATTAGTGCTAATTGGTGGTTTGTATTCACACACTTAAACTTAAAAATGTAAAGTAATAATAAAATTATTTAAAAGAGCAACACATGTTTCTTGCTCGTTCTTCTTGTGATGAGACAGCGGTAGATTAAAAAAAAATTTAATGACTATTCAAAAGTGCTTCAATGTAAGTTTATTTGAATAAATGATTTTCTATTCTATTCTATTCTATTCATGTATAAAATGAGAGTTAGCTCAGATATGACGGCTGATAGGTATATACTGTATATAGGCACCAACCCTAAATAATGGGATAAAGCATGGTAATTATGATAATGAAATCATGATTATGTTTTTTGTTATTACAGAACGTCCCATTTATGTATCATGGGCAGTTGCAAAGCACAAATACACAGAAGAAGCAGATGAGAAGAAACCGAAAAAAGAATTCAGTAATTCAACATCCGAAGACTTCACTATTGTGAAGAGTAAGTATTTGTTAGAAAATATCTAAATCTGAAATATAAGTATTTATTCTAATTAACAAATTCTTTTCATTCTGTGATATATTACTATTATGATGCCATCTATCTTCAATACCCATTCAAATATAATATACTAGTGACCCATCTCAATGTTGCATGGATGCATTACAAATGTTTTAATTTCTCGTCTTGTTAAAACAAGCTATTACTATAACACACATGTTTTATGCATATAAACCTTCATCTAGAATCATATTATCTATAGCTTAAAATTAATTAAAATTAATCGCATCATTTAAAATATATAAGAGAACAGATAGCAGCTGCGACTTTGTTTTATATTATGTAAATATGCTTAGTAGATTTCATTGACACACTTATACTTACATTATCTTTAAACCTTAAAGTTACAAATTAATCTTTAAAATTAATACTTTAAGGTGGTATTCTTAAAATTTATAGTTTTGGTATTAATGCACTATTGTATTATGTCTGTAATGTAATAACTAAATTAATAATATTTGTACTGAAACAGCGGAATATGATGAAACATATGTTATATGTAATTACCATATTCTGACAAATAAATATATTATCATTATTGTTAATAAACATTAAAACATAAATACAAAAGTATATGTAAGGTACACATAATATTTTGTGGTGATGTTTGAACTTACAACTATCAGATTTATAAAATTATATTGTATTGCATTGCAGAAGAAGAATCAGGCTTAGAAAATGATAAAGGAGCAAAGGAAGGCAACAAAAGCAGGATAAACAATAATGCTCGACTCATAGTTCGTAATGTCTCTTTCAAAGCTACAGAAGAAACATTGAAAGAACATTTTGAACCATATGGGTCTTTATTAGAAGTGAAATTGCTGAAGAAACCAGATGGGAAATTAGTTGGTTGTGCTTTTGTGCATTTTAAGAATGTACCGATGGCAAAGAAGGCACTATTGAGTACAAATATGAAACCTTTCTTAGGTAATTTCTTTTTATGTAACTTGAACAACAATTAAACTTTTGTACTGTATAATTTCACTGCTAGATCTCACTATTGAAATGAAACATAATTTACAGAGCAAGATGTTTGGAGGTTGAAATAGGAGATACTGATGGACCTACATAGACTATGGAATTGCAATGATTGAGTGGTATCACAGATGTCACATGGTACTTTGTAGTCTGTGGTGATGTATATGTATATAGGCGGCAGATTCCACTTACCATCTGTTTGTTTGCCATGCCATTGAAGCCCTGGTGGTCTAGCGGTTAGCAGACCACTTTACTTTCTGATGATTGTGGGCTTGATTCCTCCGCACACTTTGTTATCATAAATATTATTATTTGTATCAGTCTGGGTATTTTTTGTATATATTATGTAAGAAATTATAAAGAAAATGTATTTATGTATATGTATCAGTTTTCAAGTACTCATAAAACAAGCTCTGTTTAGCTTGAGACTAGATGGCGCTGTGTTCATTGTCCTGAGATATTATTATACACATCAAAAATATTTTAACATTAGGTCGTCCAATATCCGTGGATTGGGCAGTTGCGAAGAACAAGTACATGCAGCACATAGTAAACCAGCAATTGGAGATGCAGGAAGATGTAAAGAAAGAAGACTCTGACTCTGATGATGATGGACAGCCTCTGAACATATCAAATGATGATTTGAAGCAGGAAATTAAAAGTGAGTTCTATCACTGTTATACTGGATTATATGATATATTTATCGCGCAAAGAAATTAGCATAATAAGTACATAGACTATATTGGATTCCAATATATTTAAAATTATAAAAAAAATACTAGTTACTTTATTTGGCTGAACAATATTTCAGCAGTTAAATTCTTAGAGTGAGTTTTCTAGTAATAATACAATATAGATATTGAAAAAATATGAACAGGGTTTCATAGATCGTCAAAAGTAAAATATGATCTCTGCCCTGGGTGGTCTAGTGGTTTTGTACACCGTCTTACTTCCGATGGTCGTAGCTTCGATTTCTGGCACAGAACAACAATATATTGGTAACTGCTGGCCATACGGCACATCGTACTCTAAGCAATTACGATTTATAAAAAATCTGTATTTATAGGTGAGTCAGATGAAGATACTGCGGAAGATAAAAATTCAGATAACGACAGTGAGTCTGAAAATAATGAATCTGACGCAGAAGATGCTAGTGATGATGATGACGATGATAGAGAAGATGACTCAGATATGGATGATCAGCAAAGCGAGACCAGCATGGTGCCAGCCAAGCAACGGTTTGTATTAAATGTCTCTTATCCTGTAATTTAAGTGCCTAATCTATACCATACAATCGAAACACGGCTTAATGAGCAGACTCTACTAAGATATTTGGCAGTTAAAGTAGGTAAATAAATGGAATAATATAACTGCCTATGGTAACTGAAGATGGTAAGATGGTCCACTGTGGAGATTTCACAAGGAATTAACCATTACAGTTTTCAAAAGCAAGATGCTGTAACTTGCTAAGTTACTAGTGGGCCACTAGTAATTTGTGTCGGCAACACGCAAGTACATTCTTGATATTTAAGAACTTAGTTGTGATATAAAAAATTCCCTTCCACATACAGAAGTCACAATATAAATAGCGAAGTTTGTTAAATTATTCTAATTTCTCATTACAGAACAAAACTAAATGATGCAGAAGATGGGTGTACGGTGTTCATAGTAAACATACCATTCTCCATAGAGAATGACCAACTGAAGCAGTTTGCAGAACAAACTGGTCCTGTCAAGTATGCACTTGTATGTGTCGACAAAATGACGGAGCACTCTAAAGGAACTGGATTCGTAAAGTTTGTTGTAAGTCATATGACATTTTTTTAATTATGTTTTTTTTTATTAATAATGGGATTGCGCTTGAGATTATCTTATCTGATGGTAAATGATGCCAAGACCTAGGATGTAGCGCGCTTACCCAGAAAAAATCTATTCACCATAGACTTGAAGAATCTGGAGTTGTATTTCTCCGGGAACACAAAAGCTGGAAGCGTGTTCCACTCTTTGGCAGTGCGTATTACCAAGGACGATGCGAACCGCTTAGTGTGAATGTGCAGAATTTCCACGACGTACGGATGAAGTCCCAGTGTACGTCGTGTAGTTCGGTGGTAAAAAGAAGAAGGCAAGATCAAATTATGCAGGTCCTGTGCGCACTCACCAAAGTGTAATGTGCTAAAGTAATTAAAGGTTAATTTGATGGTAAGTGGGAATCGTCAGCTATATCCATGAAACAACAAAGATATGACATTACGGTCACGTGACGACCGTGATATCACTCATCTAATGCCGCAAAACGCTACTAAGATATATTGAAGACTTTGTCCCTTGAACTGAAACGCAGCTTCAAAACAAGGATTCGCGGCTGAAAGAGACTTGAGTTTTTTTTTATTGAGGGGTTTGGGCTATTGTCCGATGCTTTAGACGTATAGCACTGCGATCTACTCTTACATAGATCTAGTGTGCTCGCCCTTTTTTAAAGTTCGCTATCGAGAGTCTGAGTTACTCACGCCTACGATTTGTGCAAATTATTGTAGTATATATATATATCTTTATAAATTAAAGTGGTATAAAACAAAGTTATATTTTTGAAGTCAGGAGTTGGTCTCCAGCCGCTCCATAAGTCCTTCCGCGGGTTTGAAGTGCTATCTGCAGTCGCCCTCTTGTTCGCTGAAGCTGCAAATGCCAGCTGTTGCATCAGAATAGTAAAAAAAAATCTTTTACTATTATTTGAAGAGTTTTTCCAGGTTTATGTGTAATTTGTCTAAAATTTGATTTATGACTATTACTCCAGAACAAAGAAGATGCAGACAAGTTTCTATCTCTCTCTGCAGACCAGCTCCGTCTTGAAGGCCAAGTGTTGCAAGTGAAGCCGGCGCTCAAGAGGGAGAACCTACAGAAGGGTGATAAGAAACAACCCAAGGATAATAGGAACTTGTATCTTGTTAAAGAAGGAGGTTTGTGCTTGCGTGTTTATATTAGAGTATTACTGTTAGATTTGGACTTCATTACATAACTTAGTATGTAATGATTCTTACTTTAAACTTCGCGACCTAGTAATTTAGTGCCCTGTAAAGTAAAGGGGTGTAAGTTCAAATCTAAATGTGTGTAATGACTTGTGTCGGACACAAATCATTGCACCATTTTGCAATGATATTTAATTATTTCAAAAAGGGTAACCATAACTCAATAATTATGTCGGCTCCATAGTCATTGACCTATTATTATAATAGTTATCTAAATATATATAACTCAAAGGTGACTGACATAGTGATCTATCAATGCACAGTCCAAACCACTGGACGGATCGGGCTGAGACTTTGCATGCATAAAGCTATTATGACTTAGGCATCCCTAGGATTATGATAAATTCCACCCCTAAGGGGATAAATTACCGCGAGCGAAGCTGCGGGCAAAAGCTAGTTATAATATAAACATATGACATTATCATAGTAAATGTCCGCCATTTTGCAAGGATATTTAATTATTTCAAAAATGCGCGTGTTAGCGGTGCGAGCCTTTTTCTCGTTCTCTTTATTTACATTTACATACTCATTTTTCCCTGCGTTAAAGCCGATTCGCCCATGAAAAAACGTCAGTGTAAAGGCACACATTGTGTTTAATACATAAAGATACTTTAATTTTATTTATTTGTTTATCTACAAATTAGATAAATGAAATAGACATAGAATAACAATAAAATGCTTTAGAAGGGGCTATATTATATTTATTTGAATAAATTATGTTTATTTCTATGATAAGTGGTGGTGGCCGGAACTAAAGCAGCTGTGGGCGTGTCTGCCAGTGACATGTCGAAGCGGCTTGCATTGGAACGCAGCAAAACACAAATGTTGAAGAATTTGAATAGGTAAGTAAAATTAATGTTAACGCCCTCATGTTTACGACTAATAAAAAATTATAAAACGACTAATAAAAAATATATGCTTTATAATTTTTTATGTCATGAATAAACGACTGAAAGAACGAGCAAACATGGAAGCGTGTCTTTTTGTTATTTTTTTACGAATAACTGAAAGACCTTAAAGAACGACCATAACAACCCGCGATCATCGGTAACGGTGTGCTAAACCGTTAGACCACTGTCGTGAAGTAATTTTTAAATTAATCGAAGAATTACTTAAATGCTCTGATGAATTTTTACTAATGTTGCTTTGTATATAATGGACTTATAATGCAGTTATAGTCATTAGAATTTTCGTTCACCAGATTCGTATCCCGCTATCGGATTGTTGTCTCGAATTTGCCACCGAACTGTGACGATGCGCGGCTGCGGCGACTGAGCGCGCAGGCAGCCGGCAACCGAGCCATCATCACCGAAGCCCGAGTCATGAGGGACCTCAGAGCTGCGCCCGACAGGACTGGGAGGCAGCCGTTAGTAATTCAACAACCAATATTAGATTAACTAGACTAACTAACTAACTAACAAATAATCATACTCATGAATACAAGTGTTTACATCGTTCGAGAAATTGAACTCGCGATCAACAGAAGTAAACCGCTGTTCTATACTGCTAGACCACCAGTATCGTTTGTTGTTTATTTGTAACACCCGTGGTATTTCATGCGTCCATAGGTAACCATATACCAAGAGATGGGCCGTATGCTTGATTGCTACCATATCGTATATTGTAGTATAATAAAAGTTTATTTATTCCAGATCTAAAGGCTATGGATTCGTGATGTTCATGCGGCACGAGGACGCACTCAGCTGTCTCAGGAAACTCAACAATAACCCTGAGATTTTCGACGCCAATAACGTAAGATTTATTATCTTATAGCATAGATTACTTAAAAATAAGTAATAATTTTTTTTGTGGTGCGGTTTACGCTGGCACTAGTGGAGGATGATAAGACGTCAGGTCAGTCGGTTCACAAATTCACCAGGAATATATCATGATGGTTTACAAGGGGAACCGCGTGGAGGTCAACCTAAGGTGGAGGTGCATTGTTAGCAATTGGGGACAACAATCCCCTTCCCCTGATGGGTATATTTGATGCAATGTAGCAGGAAACAAGTCTATGGGATTAATTTTTGTTTTGGTATCGGCATTACTATTAAAAGGTTGGTAGGTATCGGTATCGGTTAATCACGAGGTCTACTGTCCTCATTACTAGTAATCCTCTCCACCCCACTAATAAGCATTGTGGCTTACCGCACAGATCAATCATATTAACCAATATGACATAGGTCAGCAGACATGTTAATGCGTTGGTATGCGTTATAGTTGCTATATTTGTATAGTTTTTATTTTTTATGCACTGGAATGTCAAACCAGCTGTCTACCCACATGGTGTTAAGTGCCAATAGACGCCTATATACATAAACAGCACCACGGCCAACATGTCGCCATTTGATGCCGGCCCAACCTCCATGCTTTACCATTCAGCAAGATAAGATTGTATTTTATATTACTCTTTAATTTCACTGCTTTTATCAAACTGAAGCACATCTTGCAAGGCAAACGACTTGGCAGCTGAAATAGTTGAGACAGAGGTAAACAGAATACTGTCTTGTTTTGTCTTGCACAAAATCTGCCAATACCTTACAAATATTAAGATTTTATTATATCCCACAGCGACCCATCGTATCCTTCTCAATTGAAGATCGAACAGCTCTGAACGCAAGAAAGAAACGTCTAGAAAAATCTATCGCGAACAACCCGTTAGCAAACAACACAGACAACAAAAAAGGTAGAAATAGGAAACGGAAAATGGAACAGCCCGATGAAAGTTATATGAAGAAACGAAAGTTTGACAAGAAAAAAGAAAGTAATGGATTTGATAACAAAATTAATAATACTAATGTAAACGAAAACAGCGGTGGAAAATACGTTAGAAGACCGCGAGAAGATATCAGTGAATATACAGGCTTGACTGCGAAAGAAGGAAGTCAGCATAAGATGAGGAGTAACCACAAACTAAAGAGTCAAGCGGAAGTCCATAGACAAAATGTAAAATTGGAAAAGAAGAAAAATAAAAGGAGTATAAGGTTGAAGATGGCGATGAAGGAAAGAATTAAGTTGCCGAAACAAAAAATAAATAAAGCTCCAGGAAAGAAACATAGGAAGAAAGCTCCGCACCATAAGACTGGCACCCAGAACATCAAGTAGACATTAAATGCAAATTAGTGTTGGTAATATAGTCTAAAATAAAATGAAAAAGGTTAGTCACCAAAACAAGACTAAGCAAACAAAGTACGCATCTCAGTTATGACAGAGTTTTAACACTCAAATTGAAATATACTCATACAAAATCTAGGATCCCATCTATTGTTGGAGGGGATCCTAGATTATTGTACACGAAGTTTCTGATTCCTTTATAGAAAGACACGCGAAAGACAGACACGACAAAGAGTCGTCGAAAGCGAATGAATGAATTGAATGAAATGATAAATGGCCAAATAGGGATGTTCGATATCGTAAGGATTGAAAAACATCGATGTTGATATTGATCTATAATGTTGGTCTCATTCAACATTATAGATCAATAATGTTGGTCTCATTCAATCTTCATTTCAATCCTTACGATATCGAACATCCCTATTTGGCCATTTATCATATCGACCATCAGTGTTTTGTTATTTTTTTAAACCGTAATTGTTGCTTTCAAATTTCGGTACTTTTTTATTGTTGATGTTATCGAGGAATGAATTGAAATTGGAAACAAGGCGGGTGTGGTAAATCGCTAGACCGTCAAGGCTGTCGTCAATGATTATCATTGAGATGGACGACATTTTTAATTGTACTTCCGGAAGGATATGTTTTCACAGTTGCGAAAGTATTGCTTGCTAAAATTTCATATATCACTCACTTAATACAATACTGGATTAACTCAAAGATTTATAATATGGGAGAAACCATATTAGATATAATTTTATATAAGTCTATTATCAAAAATTTGATATTCTTGAATTAATCTATTATTGTATTAGCGGTGCGATATGGTCTTCTATCTTCAACTGTCTCGATTTATCTATATGATATGAATAGATGTAAAAAATCTTTGTTTTATTGTATAATATAATAATAAAGATATATGTTTTAAATTATCGTTTTAATTATAAATGAACAAAATAATTCAAATATAAGTACAATAGCCTTCGAAATCCTCATATACATGTTACGTCTGTGTGTTTGTCAGGTGACTTTTAAATGACTGGACAAATTTGAATGTTTTTTCAGATTTAAATTGATTCCTGAATGGTTTGACAACACGATTACACCCGATAAGCGGCGCTGCTTTTCTGGGCAGGACACGTATGTCACCAACCCCCAACCTCCCTCCTCTCCCCCTCCCCAGATATGAAATATGATCCACCAAGATATGGAATAAAAATACTCATAATTTTTATCAGTTTTCTCTAAATGTAAATATACATATTTATGTGTGACACTTTTATCATAAGCCCATTGGAAGCATAATAAGCATAATTCATTACTATATACTTATTATAAGAATCAGTTAAATTAAAATTTATTTTTTGTTCTTTTTATATAACTTTTGTATATTGTTTTGTATGCCGTGTTCGCCTATAAATAATTGTACAATTAGACCCTTTACATGTAATTAAATTAATTGTATGATTGTAACAATTGTTGGTAATTCTAATTTAAATGAAAAAAAAGCCAGGACAACACACCTATACCAAAACTTAATTTATTAACTAGTTGGAATATCGAGCTTCAAATGCCTGGCCGCGTCCGGAGACGCCGCACGTAATTTATATCCGCGCGCGCAGCTTGTCTGGCTGCGCGAGCACGTTGCATGCGTCGAGGTGCGCGTAGAGCGCGGCCAGGTACTCTTGCTTGTGGAACGTGTAGTGCTGCACGTGCGGGGACTTGTCCCAACACTTCCACGTGCACTGTTCGGGGAAAAATATTTTTTTTAATGTTGAACACCTAGAACTTCTGGCGAATTTACTAGGTGCCAGGTGCAAACTTTCCTGTTCTTATTTATACCGGCAACACCGTTGCCTAGTTACAACATAACAAGAAAATAATAAGCCTGTCATTTGAGACTGAATGCTTCTTGTAAATATAATTTGGATATGTATTACATAGTATAAATAGACACAACCTGATCTCATCATCATTTCACCTTCTTTTTCTCCTGCAAAGAGCACTCAATACATAAATAATAGCGGCCCATCATAGCTGCTAAAAACTTTTAATAATAACTTGAGGGGAGGCCCTATCACTGTAATATCAGGTCGATTTCCACGCGTTATCCTGAAATCGTGGTTAATATTGGTGAATACTTATGAGTTCATGCTCATCCTATCATCCTGTACACTGACACTGATGTAATCACGACTTTTTTTTGCATAAAAACTCGCTATAAACTTACGAACCTTAATACCCAAGTTTACCCATGATTGGTAAACGTTACGGTTGCTCCTCTCAGCACCGACGGGGTCCGTCTTCGACAGTAGGAAGAGCGCGGGCGCTTGACAAGCACCTGATATGAAAGCGCGTGAGCCACTGTGGTAGTGCTTCGTGGCTGCTTCGTCGAATGTCTTTAAGTGGTAACTGTAAGTATTTACCATTATATTTTACCTAATAACTCCCTTTATACGTACGGTTTTCACGCGCGGGAAAGTCAGCGCGCGCAATTATGAGTGATTGCAGTTCACAATTTTTTGCATGATAGCCCGTATGGATCAAGTCACTTTCTATTAAAATTTATATTTTTATTTTCCGAAAACACGTATAAGATTTATAAATTATCAATAACTTTACAATAACGTCTTTACTCGATAGTCCGATGTCCGCCATTTTGCAATGATAATTAACTATTAAAAAAAGCATTAAACAATGCACGATAAAAAAGCGCGGGACGCGCGAACTTGCATCGTGTGTGGTCTCTCTCGTTCTCTTTATCAACATTTACATGCATATTCTTTTCAGTGTGAAAGCCTATTCATGCGAATCCGCTTTAATGCGGGAAATAGTGTGCATGTAAAGTACACAAAGAGCACGAGAAAGAGTGAGTGCCTTCGCGCGTTTTTGTAATGAATAATTATTTAAAATGTTGCAATATGAGAAAATACCTAATTACAGATTTGTTGATATAATTTATAAATTTTAAACGTGTCTATGGAAATTTACTTAACCGTAGCCTATATACACAAACAGAACTTCGACATCACATTATCATGTGATGCCCGTGATACAACTCATATGTTGCTATTTGTGAAAATGTTTAATGTGTTCTAATACTAAAACTTACTCAATATAAACACTGGTGACTTTCTGCATTAATTTATTATTTGGGAACACAGCAGCGGAAAAAAAGAAATCTCTGAATACATTAATTTAAATAATAATATAACTACTTTATAAGCTGTGATAAAGTTTAAAAGGTGATTAGGCCGTTTGAGTTTAATTTATCTTCCACATACTTATTATATTTATAATTTAAGGTACTAGGCTTCAGATATCCATAATCGATCAGTCACCTATTGACTAAATTCCAGTCGATATACGCACTGAAGTTTTGAAATTTATAACTGGCCGCTAAAAAAACGAACAAACTTTTAAATAAAAAAAAAAAAGAGAATTAACCGCCGTCTTTTGTTATTGTTAACAAAATATCATGAGAATATATCACATATATTTTTATATTCCGTTTTTTTATTAAGTAACTATTTATACCCATACGCGTTATAGAACATTTGTTGAAAAATTACTCCTAGACGAAGATACCATCTGTTTTTACTGTACCAACGTAGGAATACAAACTATTTCGCGATATGTTATATTTGTTTTTCTGTTTGTGACCTAGTTTTCTTTCACAAATGTTTAATGTACCGTTATTCTAAGTACTAAAACTTGATGCCCCAATATAAACACGGTTCATCATTCCATCATTCATCATAATTTATAAAAAATCTTTTTTTAATTTATTATTTTTTGGGAACACATGCACCACAAGCGTATTCTGACCATTTTCAGTCAAGAGTTTCATGAGATCAGCACCAATTATCTAAAATCAAATGTCCGAACTATTTATGATTACACTAGTGATCCACCCGGTTTCGCATGATTGGGTTGGGTTTACGGTGCATGTGTATCATAGAAGTAGTATGTGTCAAGTTTTTAATATTGCAATGGTAAGATGGCAAACAATCCGACGTCCCACCTGATGGTATGTGGTAACCGTTGCTTATAAACACTACTTTATAAGCTGTGAATAAAGTGGCGGGAATCTTACTTATATTATAAACGCGAGTATAAAGTTTGAGAGTATGAATAGATGGATGAATGTTTGTCCAGCAAAAACTACTGAACGGATTTTAATGAATATCTTCCACATACTTATTATATTTATAATTTAAGGTACTAGGCTTCAGATATCCATAATCGATCAGTCACCTTATAGCACTAAGATTTGCATATATGTGTATGAACAAAGAAACAAAACATCCCTTCTAATTCTAATGTTACTTATGCCCCATCATACATCATCTGTTACAAAACGATCCATTAAAAAAACCCAATACCCTTGAGCGGCCACGTGAAGTTTTGAAATTTATAACTGACGCTGCAGCATCCAATTCATGATGATGCATAGTGGTTTCTTTAATGTTTTGTTCAATCTGAAAACAAACATTTACGTAATTTTTTAATTAAAATGGAAAAAAAACCTGATGATAAAAAAGAGTATATTAACTGCGGTCATCACGTTATCACATGTCTAAGATGTGATGCCTCTTATCCTGTAATTTGATATCACAACGTTATTTTACTCTTGTTTAGTGTTTTAAATCAAAGCCTTCTGTATTAATAAAATGTTTATTTATAGAATCTTAAATAACTAACAATATTAATTATAGATATATTCATTTTACGTGTGTCTCACTTTTTTAATGACTTTTCTTTCGCTATTTTGACAGTTCACCTGTCATATTTATATGGCCATAGATATATTCAACACGTTGTCTTTTTACAAAAATAAAGAACATTTGATGAAAAACTGAGTAAAATATTCCAACTGAATAGAAGTATTACAAATTTACAATATTAGAAATATAACTTAAAAATCTTTTTTACCCTCTGTACAAACTGATTAAAAGGGCAAACATATTCATTTAGATATGTTGGTTTTCTTGTTTCTCTTTTAGGTCTGCTTGGCTTGTTGTCTGAGTAGTTGTTTTCGTTGGTCGTTATATTCATCTTGA